GGGGGCGAGGGCCGTGCCTCCCCCGACCCCCGCCGAGGACGAGGCCTGCTACTCGCGGCAAACACTCTGCGCGAGCTCAGAGGCTGCCTCGCCCCTTCGTTTGCGGGCGGAGCGGGTCGCGGGCGGCGCCCCCGGATCTGCCGTTCCCGGGCCGGGAGAGCGGCGCGCCCCAGGCGGGCTCGGTGCGGCCCGACCGAGCGGCCCCGCGAGGCTCCTGCGCGCCGGGGTCGGCTGCGGGGGTGTCCTCGGCCTGCAGCCCCGCTCTTCCTGCCTGCAGCCGGCCCGGGCCGAGGCCCCGCAGCCTGGAGCGCCTGTGCCCAGGAGAAGCCCCGCCCGGGCGGCGCTGCGGCTCCCCGGAATCGGCCTCCCCTCCTCCGTCACTGCCCCAGACCCTGGAAGCCGCCTCCTCGCAAGGGGAGCCGCGTTCGCCCCCCTTCCGGAGAGCCGCGGGACTTCCTGATCGATCTCCCCGGCCATCGTGAGCGTTTTTGGTAGCAGATTCCTAGAAGAACGAAGCGACGCCGAGCACCGGGGAGTCCTCCGGAAAGGAGATGCCCCCCCCAAGAGCCAGGATTGCCAGCACGCAGCTGGCCGCCTCCTGCCCACGGGGCGTGCCTTGGGCGCTCGTGAGAGGAAGCCCCCGAGGGCATCTGCTCTGCCGCTGTCCGAGGCGCGCTGCAAGCCCGGAACGTCCCGCGCTCCCGGAAGACTGTTTGCAAAGGAGCCCCGCGCGACCCCGGCAGCGGGGGCAGGAGCGGGGTGCTTCCCTGGCGAGGTGGGTCGCCCCCAGAGGGAGGGCGCGTCCCTTCGCTCAGTGGCCCTTGCGCCTTCCTTTGCGGCCGGTCGCAGGGCGGGGAAGTGCCCTTTTCCATCGGAACAATGCCCGGCCGTGAAAGCAAGGGCGACCTTCCCCTCCGGGCTGTTTCCAAAGCGGTGTGTGTGTGTGTGTGTGTGTGTGTGTGTGTGTGTGTGTGTGTGTGTGTCACAATAACAACTGGAGTTGCTGCCGGTAGTTGCTATCTCCCCTTCCTCCTCCCAGGGCCCCAGAGTTAGAAGGGGCCCTTAAGTCCGGCCCCTGCTCTCTGTGGGCATCTGAACTCAGACATCCCAAAGAGAGGGCCGCCTGGCCTCCACCTCAACCAGGGAAGGGGCGCCCACCTCCCTGCCAAGTCGTCCTTCCTTTACGCTCAAATGGCGCTCACTGTTAAAAAAACACTTGGTTGAAATGGGGCTTCCTGTACCGCAGTTCCATTATTTTTGTTGTGCCCTCTGGAATGACGGAGGACAACCTCGGTGCTTCTGCGCTGCATCATTTTCAGGGGTTTAATTGCTGTCTCTTCTCTACCATCTCGCCACTAAACCTTCCCAGTTCCTTCAGCTTTTTTCTCATAGAACTTAACTTTTCAGTTTCTTAGAAATTTAGTTCCCAATTATCTTTGTTGTTCTTTTGTGTGTGTGTGTATAATTTTATTAAACATTCAAGTTAAACAGATAAAAACTAATGCAAACTACAGAAAATAAAAGAATAAAAGGAAAAAATAGTGCAGAAAAAAAAGAAAATAGAAATAGAAAAAAATTTAAAAAGAAAACATAATACAGTAATATAGCAAAGAAAGAGAAAAGCCTTCCCCCTTTGTCACACCAAATATAAATAATTTTAGCAACTTATCACCTTCTCTTAAAATGCAACAAAAAATCTCTTCATCCCATATCTCATCTCTTATCTATAAACAAATCTTTGAAGCCTCGTCGTTCAGTCCTGGTCAGCAAAAGTCCATTAAGGGTTACCAGAAATATTTTAACCTTGATCAAATAAACAGTCTTAATCTTTAATCCCTTCAAATAATGTCCTAGAGGTTGTTTTCATTTCTTTGTCCCTTCTCACAAAATCCTTCAGAACTTTAACAGATCTCTTTTGTAAATCCAACATACTTTTGATTTGCCATTTGTTTGCCCTTTTAATTAGTAAGACTTCAGCTGGGTTCATTTTTATATCCAATGTAACATCTTTTTCCATATCATTCTTGTAGCTTGTCATTTTTAAATCCACTTTCAGATAAGACTCAGTCTTGTCCAGTGAAACTTGTTCCTCTTCCTTAACATCTGAACACAGTCTATCTATAATGGCAGATATTTTTAAGATTATCTTCTGGGTCCATTGGTCACAAATATTCTCCAGTACATCCAGTGTTAAAGTATTATGCTCCATTCTGTGTTAGTAAGTCAAATTTAAGTGTTCTTTAATTGTAATCTTTACTTCCTTCTGGTTCCCTCTAGTGTCCAACATTCAAATTCCCATCCTATCAGATTTTCTTTTAAGAATTCAAAACAACAACATTTTCCCACAGGAATGTAACTTATGATTAATTTCAAAATCTTTCAAATCCATCTGGACCTTTAATCCATTTATAACTTTCCAAAATCAATGTTCTAATCACCTTTTTGCTGTTTATTAAAAAAAAAAGATTTTTTAAAAATCCTTAAATTTATCTTTAAAACTCCTTTTGCTAAACTCACCTGGTGTGTGTTATAAAACTTGTTGATCGAAAGATTCTTAATAGGTGAAAGGCAGTTAAGCAATTTTCAAAAGTGATTAAGAAATGAGGCTCTGCAGAACTTTGTGTCCAAAAGGCTATGTGAGTGTGGGCTTGCTGGAAATCCCTCGACTCCGGCCGCTCAACTCACAGGCCCGGCTGCAGAAACTTGGCTTCATGCCCAAGGTGAGACTAGAACTCACAGTCTCCTGGTTTCTAGCCTGTTGCCTTAACCACTACATCAAACTGGCTCTCTTTACTGTGTTACCAGTTAGCATTTGGCCATCTTCACTGAGCAGATGCTACAACAGTTCCCTTATACTGGATCTCTCTGTTCTTTGGTGACCCATCCCTTTTTCTACTTCCTGGAGATGTTCTTTCTTATATCAGATCTTCACTAAGCTCCTTGTGCAACCACACTCTGTTCTATTTTTTTCCCTTGCTGGAATAGTTTGCAATTGTGTTTTTAATAATGCCTTTTTAGGAACTCCCAACCATTTTGTGCTCACTTGTCTATCACCTGCTTCTTACATAAGTCCTACTTATAATTGCTTTGAGTTCTTTAAAACTGCTTTTTTGAAGTCCAAAGTATAGGTTTGACCACGCTGAGCTAGTTTTCTTTAAAAACAAGTAGTCGTGCTGTTTCCACTCGTGCTCCTAATTCTTCTCCATTGGTTAATATCAAGTGAAGGATAGCAGATCTTCTTGTGCCTTTCCCCACCCTCTGAAGGTAGAGCTGTCAGCGAGCTAAGTCAGGAATTTTCTGTAAGGGTTGCGTTGCAGAGTCTGCTTCCATTGTTATTCCTTCCTGCTTCCTTGACAGATCTACACTGAGCTTTTGAAAGGCATAATTCCCATCTTTTGCTTGAATGGGTGAGCAGTAATGCATCTTTTGCCATAGGTTTGTTTGGTTTATTATTATTTTTTTTTACTAATTCCTCCACTTTTTTTTTTTACAGAAGTATCCCTTGGATTTCTGGAGAAGTGAATATTTATAACATAAAATGCCACTCTCTTCCCCCCTTTCTATTGCTTCTGTTCCTTTTCACCAAGTTACACTGTTCAGTTGCTCTATTCTAATCGTTAGAATCATCCTACCAAATTTGCTACCCCTATCAAATATTTTTTCTTCCTGGAATAAAAGTTCAGGTCCTTATACTCTCAGCATTACTATGAAGATAGCAACCATGACCTTTGTTAGTCAGTATTCTTCCTTATTACTGGTTTCCACTTGGTGACTTAAGAGTTCAGTTGCTCTCTTTCTCCTGCAGTGCACAAGTCACTATCTGAAGATCTTATATCTTTACATCTCCAGCCCTACAGAGGTAGTTTGAGACTCTCCTGATCAAGTCTGACATAGATCTGCAGAGGGACAGTCCATCCTGTACCAGTCTGTCATTCACATAACATATCCATCCTCCCCAAAACCAGACCTGTAGCATTTTCCCTTTCTTCTTCTCTTCCCTGGAGTGAAAGGATGGAGAGAAATGTCCGTAAACTTCCTTCCAGATCCTCAAAGCCCACGGTGTAGTTGTCTTTGCAGCACAATTTGTTCCCACATGGATGAGGAGGAAGGGGTAATTGTCAGTGGAACTGAGAAATCTTGGAAGTTATTCTGTAATATCCTTAATCTGTGCTCCTAGATAAAAGCACACTTCACAAGCCAGTGACTCTAGACAACACATGTTTGTTTCTGTCTCTCACAGTACTGAGCAGAGAGAGGTATCTGTAAGGGGCAAGGGAGCAAATGATAAAATATGCAAACTCCATCCCTCTTGTGACATTGTGAAAACTGGCTTTGCTTTGGATGCCCCTGTAACGAATCACCAACTACCCCAACGTGTCTCTCTTATCTTCTGGCAGGACACATCAACAGCTCCTCTGCTGTTCAGAAAGTCATCTTGTCCTGTAACAAAGCTGTTTTCCTTCTCCAGAGGAGAGCATCAATGTCTCTTGCTTTTGTGTCATCCGTTGTGTTTGTTCCTTTGTTTGATTATATTTTAATGGAGAGTAGCTTCCCTTGTTGTCTATAGAAGCATCTACTAAATCTTGGTCCACTTTCCAGAGTGATACTCAGAAAACGTGCCCAGAACTCTAGATAGGCTTTTCAAACTTTTTTGGCAGAAGCTGTTAGGTTTTTTGCTTTTTGGGTTTTTTTAATCCTGGAAGCCCTGATCAAGAGGCTCTGGTGGTAGAAAATTGGCTGCATTTGAGTGAACTTTTTTTAAAACTTGTTCTTTCATAGAACTCCCTCAAGTTCACACAGAACTGACCCTGCGGCTCCATGGAACTTAGTTAGAAAACTGCTTTGAGCAATTAGCAGCTGCGAGAAGAAGAGCCTCGGGACAGTCTTGGGATCTCACATCACTCAGATGCCTGACTTCCATATAAGTCAGGTTTAAGCCATCTTCTCAGCTAGGCTCCAAGCTGCCATACTACCAGACTCCTTTTCAGCTTGCAGTATGCTAGACCTGTGTTTTACCCTCCTAATGGTGTCTCCATTAAAGATGAAGAAGTGGACTCGCTCCAGACCTTGGTATGATCTGGTAGCAGTCGTGATAGCCATAATACGCATAACAGTGAGAACCCCAGGAGCCTTTTTCTAGATGCAAGTTGATCTCCAGTCTTCCTGTCCAAAGCCAGTCCCTTGTCCTCAGGGCCTTTCCGTGGTCTGCCCTGCCTGCCCCATGGGCCACTGAATTCTTCACCAGGCCTTGCCCTGTCCAGAGTGGCTCCTACACTGGACTGGGCCCCGCAGTCCCCACCAGGACTCTGCAGCGTCCTTGACGTCCAGTAAACAGACATGGCCTGGGGACTGGCCCTGTGTGGGAGCAGAAACAGAAGCTTGGACACCCAGTCTGTCATTCTGCCTCTGGGATGCAGCCGTCCCTTGACAGTGACAGGAAGCACTGGAGGGGCGGGAGATAGAAGGAAGGGAAAAGCCTCAGTCCTCAGCCGCCATTAAGCCCTGGGGCCAGACGCACAAGAGGGCAGCTGGATGAGGTTTGGGGATGGGAGGGGCGGTTCCAGATTCCTCTCCAGCCAGGAAGCTCCAGAGAGATCCCTTCCCTTCCCTTCCCTTCCTTGCCTGCCACGTTCTGCAGCTCGGAAAAGACGGGGCGTTTTAAGGGCTGAAGAGAGCCAGAGCAAAGGGCAAGGAAAACAAGCCGCTTCCTCTCCTGTTTGGCTGCTGAGTAGGGATTGCGAAGGGTCTGGATTTGCTCTTGGCTTCCCTGGAGAGGGCAGTTGGGATGGGCGACGGTCACAGGATTCGGCGGCCTCTGCCAGGAATCCCATGGTGTGTCTGCAGGGCCCGGGGGAGCCAGGCTGTGCTTGCTGGTTAAAAGGGCACTGTTTTGCTACCATCCTGGAATCAAAGCTTCTTTTATTTAACTTGCCTAGCTGGAGTGCTAAAGCAAAGGTAGCTGTGTGCCTCATACTAGTCTGAGTTCTTGAAAGTAAGTAGGCAACTTTTTCCTACTCAGGGACTGCACTGTATTTGGGATTCCCCCATCCCACCCCCATTTGTCCACCTCCAAGAGAGACAGACGTGACAGAGACCACTGAGGCATTGCCAGAATGAAGGGGGGTGAAAACATGTTCAGCTTCTTTTCTGCTTTGGTGGGTGTCAGGGTGTCAGTGCAGGGATGACGCATTCAGCCTTGCAGAAGCGTAATATACCTACTCTGTCCCTTTTGTGGTGCAAAAACAAATACACCACCAAAAAGTGCCAAATGTTGAATGCTTGATTTGAGAGCGTATAGCAAAAATGTGGCAGCGGGTTCCCGGTAGCCCTCCTAGGCTGCCAAGCCTGCCCTCCTGTAAACGAGCAGCCTCATAATTCAGCCGATCCACTTCCCGTGGCCAGGAGGTAAAATCTTAACTCCAGATCTTAAGTCCCAGGACAGTGTAAAACGCTGCACTGGGTTCCAATCCACCTCCAGCAATGGAGACTCCCCGGTGACTTTGAGTCACTCGCTCTTTCTCAGCCGAGCCCACCTCACGTGCTCATGTATTTGAGGATCAAATGGAAGACAATCAGTGCATAAGCGGCCGTGAGCAACTGAAGAAAATGTAATGAGCCGATTATGTTTTAATTTTTAATTTAAAAACAATCAAGACACACCGGCTAGGCAGGGTAAGGGCAAGTGAGGGCTCAGTCCTCGGGAGCAAGGACGATGCTGAAACTCTGCCCTCCCCTCTCCAGGTACCACGAAGGCATCCGCCATGGAGACGGACGCTGAAGGGGAGATGGAGCTCCTGAGCAGCAGCATCGCAGCCTATGCGCACATCCGAGGTAAGCTGGCAAAATGGGGCTTGGCCTGTGAGGGGCGTGCCTGCCACCACACTGGACGGTGTTTGGGAGTGCTATATGGGTACACAACGTGCTTGGCCTACAACTAGCCCTGGGTTACCTTTCTTCCCCTGCAAAGCTGTCAGGTTCAGCCCAAAGAGCTCCCCGAGGCAGTGCAGACACAGTTCTGTTGCATTTATTAGCTTCCACCTACGGGACAGAATCTCGCCAGACTGAATCTAAACTCCCCAAGCCAGCAAGCAAACACTGCAAATTCCTTGGGGTGGCGCCAGCCTCATCCTCTTCACCTTCCCACGCTCTTTCTGGGGGCTAGGGAAATGCTTATCTCCCCCAGTGCAGCCTTCGCCATACCATTCCATCACATCGGCCCACCCCAGGTGCCCGATGGACCCAGTGCAGTTTCAGGGGGAGCTTGGGGTTTTTCCCAAACTCTGGCACATGGCTCAGCAGATGCCCTTGTCACAGCCTGGAACGAGCAGGTGACGGGGTCCCTGGGCCAAATCGCACCAGTGCGGACTCTGTACGTGGGTCTCATGGAGCACCATGGTTGACTGGGCAGCTCTGAAAGATGAAGCGGCACGAGAGATGCCCAGATGCCTTCCCTTTTTTAGGGAAGGTTGTTGAGAGGGTGGTTGGCGCTCAGCTACAGGCGGGCCCTGGGTGAAGTGGATTATCCGGACCCTTTTCAGTCTGGGTTCAGGCCAGGGCACGGCACTGAAACAGCATTGGTTGCACCCGTAGGTGGCCTTTGGAGGGCTCGGGATGGGGTGGTGCAACCATCCTGGCCCTCCTGGACCTCTCAGCGGCTTTCAGTACCATCAACTGTGGTATCCTTCTGGACCGGCTTCAGGGGCCGGGGTGGGAGGCACTATTTTGGAATGCTTCTCCTCCTTCCTCCATGGCCGGTTCTAGTCAGTGTTGGTGGGGGAGGAGAGGTTGAGCCTAGGCCCCCAAACGTGGGGTGCCTCAGGGCTCGAGTCTTTCGCCTCTCCTCTTTCACATCTGTATGAAACCGCTGGGGGAGATCATCCAACCGCATGGTATGTTGATGATACCCAGCTATACATCTTCACCCCTGACCAGGCAGGTGATGCTGTTGCAGTGCTGACCAAGTGCCAGGAGGCTTGAAGGGTCTGGATGGAGAGAAACTGGCTTCGGCTCAACCCTGGCAAGACAGTGGCTCTGGGTCTTTGGCCCCCCTGGCCCAAGTGATACGTCATCTTTGACTCTGGACAGGGTGGCACTCCCCTGGACTGAGTTGATTTGGGGGTCCTACTAGACTCACAGTTCCTGCTCGAGGAGCAGGTGGCAGCTGTGGCTAAGGGGGCCTTTGCACAGATTCATCTTGTGCGCCAATTGTGCCCTTTCCTGGACCGGGAGGCCTTGCTCATGGTCACTCATGCCTTGGTCGCTTCCCGCTTGGATTACTGCAACGTGCTGTACATGGGGCTGCCCTTGAAGACCACCCAGAAGCTACAGCTGGCCCAGAATACAACGGCATGCGCAGTGATGGGTGCCCCTAGGTTCACCCACATTGCACCCTGCTGCGTGAGCTGCACTGGGTCCCAGTTTCCTTCCGGGTGCAATTCAAGGTGTTGGTTATTATCTTTAAAGCCTTAAATGGCATGGGGCCAGGTCATTTGCGGGACTGGCCCTCCCTAAGGACGTCTCCCCATTCTACCAGATTGGACAGGGTAGGCACACTCCCAGTCCCTTCCCCTAAACATCGCTGCCTTATGGGACCTGGGAGGGGTGCCTTTCCTGTGGCAGCCCACGGCAGCTGAAGGCCAGGGTCCCGGAGGTCTGCTGGGCAGGAAAGGGGGTTGAGTCCCGGAGGCTGGCATGCGGAACCACTGCGAGGCACGGACCGGCCTTCCCCGAGGCAGCCTGCCCCGGTCTCTGCCGTATCTTCCCATACAATATTCAGACCTGCCCCCAGCCCCCCACACCGCCATCCCATGCCCACTGCTTCCCAAAACGGGATTCTCACATCTTGTCACTACCTTCACACATCCCAAAAGCAGGGAAGTTGAGTGCTCTTGAGGACTTCAGTCTCAGCGCTGTGGGGAAATTCAAAGGCCTGCCTCTCTTCCACAGTCCACCATCAGCACCCCCCGCCCCACACCTTAGATTGGGCAGTCCACTCTGTAGGAAGCTACCTTGAGATATGGCCTGGAAGGTGCAACTGGGGCAGAACACAGTTGCGCCGTTCCGTGGGGTGGCTGAGTGAGGCCTCTTGATGGTAGTCCTGAAAGCCCTGGTTGCCGGTGAACTGTTTAAGCTGTTGTCATTAGTCCATAAAGCCCTAAACAATTTAGGATCCAGGCACTTGAGATAATCACCTTGCCCCATACAGTCCAGCTTGCATGCTCATGTCAACTGGGAAGTCCTGCTCATGGTCTCACCTGTGGATTTCACCTGCAGTGACCACACCTCTCTTTTGCAGCTCCCTCAAGATCTTTTACAGCCTTTCCTCATTTAGCGACTACCTCAGCGACTGTTTGCAAGTACAACAGTAATAAATGGTAGTAAATGGTAGCAAAAAAATCATTTTCCAACCAATGTGTGCACTTATGCACAATTTTGTGCACCTGACAACAATGCATGCTGGAGTGAGAGTAACTCTGGTGTTGCTGCACAAGAGAACTTTTCCTAAATGAGACAGCAGCAACCAGCGATTTTCGCAGCATCTTTCTCTCTCTCTCTCTCAGTCATATGGTTCGCTTAGCGACCATTTTGCTGGAACAGATTGCAGTGGCTAAATGAGGATTGCCTATACAGGTAGTCCTCGCTTAACAACCCTAATTGGGACAGGCAACTCCACTGCTAAGCGAAGCAGTCACTAAGTGGGAAGTCACATGACTACGAATGTGCTCTCCAGCTGGAAAGAGACAAGACTGCTCCGTTTCACACCTCCAGCTTTTGTTTGCCTCCTAACCGCTCCCCCCACTTTGGAATGCTCCAGTGCCTGCTTACTGTCTTGTGCACATCGAAAGCAATGCAATCGCGCCTGCAGCCCAGGGCTGAGAGCCGCGGGCGCACTATGCAAACAGCTTATAATACGCTTTTGAAATCTCTTTCTCTCTTCTCTGTCAAGCAGGGTCAGGCTAAAGAGAGATCGCCTAAAGAAATGGCCTGCTTTTTTTCCCCCCCCCCCCCCGAGCAGAGAGATTGGAGAGAGAGAGATTTCAAGAGAGTACTGTAAGGTGCCAGCGTGATTGCGTTGCTTCTGATGGGTAGAAGAGCAGCTCGCTCTCTTGCAATTCCTCCCTCTCCAATCTCTGCTCTGCAAGGGGGGAAAGAAAGAAAAAAGCACAGGTCAGGTGTACTAACTGTAATGACTTGAGGGACACCGTGAAGGTTGTAAATGGGCCATAAAGTTATTTCTTCAGCACCGTCATAACTTCAAACAGTTGCTGAATTAATGGTCGGTAAGTGAGGACTACCTGTACTGTCTTTCAGAAAACCCTGGAAGACATGCTTTTTCATTAATTTATGGGTTACAGCTACTTCAGGTGCAAATAGAATTGCCTGTTACTTTGCTTTTCTGATCTATAAAATGAATTTAATTTTTGTACGAATTGTTTTAATCATTGGTGGTTTTACTTAAGACTGTTTTTTATTTTTCTCTTTTAAGTCCTTCCTGGAGTGAGAAATGGTGAAGATAGTCAAGTTCCATTCCTTGGATCTACCCTATCCATATTGTTTTCTGGGTGGATCACCATTCCCTTCTTCCAGTCTGGTTGAAGAGCAGTATAGAAAAATTAAAAAATAACCCCAGAGGAGCAGATATGCTACCAGAGATTAGATTAGATTAGATTAGATTAGATTAGATTAGATTAGATTAGATTAGATTAGATTAGATTAGATTAGAT